CCACTCCACCCCAGAGTACGTACTCCATTCTCACAATATTCTCTAGACCCATCGTATCTAACTCAAGGTCGCTAGAAATTCTTCTTATAATTGATACTTTGAACCCTCTTGCCTCTACATCTTCTTCACACCTCCCCACGTTCCTAACTTCGCTCCTTCCTGGGCCTCAACTCCCGGTATCCCTCATTGCAACTTATCACGCTGATATCCCTCTCTCTTCTTCATCACCATACGCACCAGATCCTCTAACAGTACTAAGCTATCTCGCTACTGCGATTCTCTATGTTCATAACCTCTCTCATACAATTCAGAGGAAGAAGGCGCTTGATCGGTCACTCCAAGCACCGGTCTGGGGTCTCGCTGAGAGGAAAGAAGGAGTTATCATTGGATTAGAATCCAGGCATAGCGTTCTAGGTAACGGAACTGATGGCAGTGTTGTAGTTGAGATGGAAATGAGGAGGAAGAGTGGAAGGGGAGTCAAAGAAGTATTCATCCTCTCGCCTGCTCCCCCTACTACGCTCCAAACTCCTGCATCCCTTCCATCGAAGGCACTAGCGGGAGTAGGCACCATTACTCTCTTGGATGACCATCCTTTATATGCTTCTGTGCCTGTTTTGTCAAGTCCCGAACCGGATGAAGAAGTACAGACGACGTTTAATTTGGGTCTTACGGAGAAGCAGAAGAGAGATCGCGAGGGCGTTGTGTTGCCCTATTTTGATGCGCAGAAAGAAGGGGGTGCATTGGGGCCTGGAGAAGGAGGTAGGATCCTGTATGAGATGGGCGAGGAGGATAAAGAGGATTTCGACGATGAGGAAGATGAGATTTGAGGCCATTAATAGGAGTATATATCAAATTTAGACAAACATATCAATTTCCGAATGACTTAAGTGTTTCTGACGCTACAACGATAAGAGTATCGAGGTAGGTAAAGCACTCTGTTCTATTTGTATTTGAAACTAGCGTTTCTATCAACATTTCCATATTCCAAGACCCAGACTAGAATATCTTTCTAGCGATAGTACAGGAACAACTTATTTCATGAAGTCATCCAATCCAAATACAACGCCAACGCTATGCAAAGCTACCTTGTAATAATTGTAATGCACAGTCGTATCAAAGACCCACCCAAGACAACATATCGAGTATATATAAGCCCCGATTAGCTGAGAATTCCAAGCAGCATAACTCAAAACGGTGGGCGCATTGCTACCGAACGGGTATTTCCCAAGCACCAGGATTCTCCTCATCATCACTATCCCACTCAATTAGATCCTCTTCATCATTCAATGCTAATTCTACGAATCTCTGCACCCAGGCTTGGTGCATTGCATCTTGTGCAGCTTGATCAGCAGCTCCGACTGGACGCGCCGCTGCATTTCGCTGCTGTCTACCGGCGGCCCCTCTTGCAGCACGAGCAGGTGCTGCTTGTACAACAGGAGCTGCACCACCTCTACGGCCCCCAACATTGTTGGCGTTATGTGCTTGGCGTTGGCCGCGTGGAGCCCTATTTCGACCAGCTGGTACTGGGGGATCTGGGACATGTGGAACTCCGTTTAGACCGGCAGCTTGTGCTGGGACATTGAGTCGAAGGACAAGCGGACCTTCGCGCTGTAAAGGCTGTGGGGGCCCAGCTTGAGCATTATTGACAGCATCGGGACGCTGCTCTTGTATATCGTTGATGGCAGCATCGTCATGAAGATCCCCTTCTGCCAGCCTATCGCCTACAATCATATCATCCCCCAGATCTATCTCCTGCTGTGGTTCCTCTCGAACATGACCGCGATCACCAGCCCCACCATACCCTATTCCAACATCATCCCCATCGCCACCTTCAAGTTCCCAAAGTCGCATATAGCACCCGGTATTAATTTTATTGAAATGAATATATGGATTCTCCGGTTGCAGCCATGCAGAGCATAGGTAGCAGAAGTGAGAGTTGCACTTGAAGCAAATCATATGATTGCAACCATGAGTCTTCTGAGCTGGAGCTGCACACGTTGGACAGGGTGTGGTGTGAAGCCTGAGATATTCAAGAGAAGCCTTATCCTCCTCGGTGAGCTCGCCGTTATCTCTTCTCGGGATACATAATGTGAATTCCCCATGCCATCCCTGAAAACATCTACTGCAAAAGGCATATGAACAGTCTTCGCAAATGCACAATAATTCTTCTCCAGATTTATAGTCCTTTCCAGTCTTGGCCGGCTCCTCCTCCTCATCGGATCCGTCGTCAATTTCGAGACCATCGGGTTTGCGATGTTTCTTGGACCGCGCAGCTCCCTGGCACCATTTCCTTGGGCAATAAACGGTATTCTTGTCCGATTCTAGATCCGCCTTATGCTTGAGCTTGACGTATCTAGCGACCATCTCTTGCTCCAGCGGTATTTGAAGCAGTTCATTTGGACTAAGTTGGGTCTTCGGTTTTCTGCCTGTCTTATCGCTTGCCTTCCACTCCTCACTGCGTTTCTTTGCGCAGTTAGGTGTAAGGCATCGTACCGATACCAAATCGCCCTCTTTAATTGCGTTGTTGTAGAAGTCCTGAAGACACTGAACACAGAATACATGTCCACAGTCTATCATCCGATGGCAGACAGAGCCTTTCTTGGGATCTAACGACAAGTCAGTCTACTGGAGCTATTTTAATTTCTCCAGGAATCCTCTAGTATACTTACCAAGACATACGCCACATTCGAAAGTTTCCTTCGCAAAAGCAGTTTGTTTAGCTTGAATGTTGAAGTCCAAAAGCCCGATTCGCAACTCTCGAGGGAGCTGCAGTACCTGACCATCTTCTCCATACCCAAACGCATTTTCAGCTGCTTGTTGTAGAGAATCAATGTAGCCAAATACCATCTGATCGTGATCCGTTTCTTCCCACATCTGCAGAGCGTTTGATTCCAGCTCCGAGAGGCGCTCCTCGGGGAGCCATGCAGGTGATGTAGATAACTCGAATTTAGCGGGTACATTGCTGGGATAGCCATCGGGAAGGATGATATGGACCTGAAGATCTGGTAAATATGAAAGATTCTCGATTTCCTCTGCGCCCGGTCCATTCCTCTCTACCTGATTCCTAGCATTGGCGTCCTGTTGCGGTGGCGGGGCAGCTCCGTCCGCTTGGACCCCATTGTTATCGGCGACGAATTTGACGGCGATGGGATTTTGAGGATTGATAGGTAAAGAGAGAGAGGCTGCAAAAGGATTCTCCGGATCAAAAGTCAGTTCCGGGAAGATGGCTGCTATGCAGTCAAGTTCGATACGGCGCTCATCATCCTCCATGGCGGGGGAGGGATGGATGTAAGGATATCAGCGGTAGACTAGTTGAGTGAAGTGATGCGCAAGGGTTCGCTTTCTCTTGCTGAGATGAGCGGCAAAAACAGTAAGAGGTACATCAAATGCTCTATACTCTAGCCCTCCTCTCAGGACGCAGGTACTATTTAAATCCCCGCATGAAGAAGCTTGGGGAAGGAAGCAGCAAATCGGCGAAAGCAGACAAGTGGTGGCGAGGAGTCATGGAAAATTGCTTCAATAGTCCAGGGTCTTCGGCATGTCAAATTAACAAAGCTATTTTGTCCAGATCGGAGATAGTGTGGGACAGCGCGCTGCTTTAAGCTGCAGGAAACAACGTGGGCAAAGCAATGGCCAATTCTGGTGCCGCTTTCGGGCCATGAAAGCGTCCACTTCGCTCTTTGCATATGTGACGGGTTAATCTTGTTGAAGCTTGAGCTTTTTGGCTTGCTCCAGTATATACCGTTATCTGAGGTATATTAAGAATTTCTGTCATGTAATTCTTCGGTCTATAATCTGATCTCAAAGTTTCAAGGGCGAAAGAGAACTAGCATAGCTTGAAATGGCAGACCCAACCCCTCTTGCGTCCTTGTCTCTTACACATGTGCACTATGTATGTCTCTCTTTGTTTCCTGTGAACTCTATGTCAAAAGACTAACTGGGGCTATGTAGGACCCCGATGACCCAATATCCTATGCCTGTGCCTTTATGGCTCTCGTTCCCCAAGCCCTTTGCGTCGTCTATGCCACCCTAATTTGGTCAACCCGCGAGATTGAGATCTTCCTCATGTTCTGCGGCCAAATGGCTTGTGAGGCCTCAAATTTTGCCCTTAAACGAATACTAAAGGAAGAGCGGCCGAAGCAGATGCATGGAAAGGGATACGGCATGCCCAGCTCGCATGCGCAATTTGTAGCATTCTTCAGCGTGAGTCTGACGCTGTTTCTGTTGCTGAGGCACGTACCTCGGGAGAAGTCTGCAAACTACCGGCCTTTATACTTGATAGAGAGGTTAGGGCTTTCTGTGCTGGCTTTGATGTGCGCTGGGCTGGTAGCCTGGAGTAGGGTATACTTGAGCTATCACACTCCGAAGCAGGTGCTCGTGGGTGTAGCGGCGGGGACTGTTACTGCAATCGGATGGTTTCTAGTTGTGACTGCGGTAAGAAGACTGGGGCTTCTCCAATTCTTCTTGGAACTCCCCCTCATAAGGTTCTTTAGGGTTCGGGATCTAGTGGTTGAAGAAGACCTTTCGCAGGCGGGCTGGGAGAAGTGGGAAGCCCGGAGGCTGGCTTCACAAACGAATGTGAATGGCAAGAAAGTTAGATAATAGAAAACTTGTCCTAGTTATATAGCTATTTTACATATTTGTGCGAAGTTCGGCAACAAAATATGTTATGGTTTACAGCAGCATAGCGGAAGGAGCATTCAATGTCTCCCAATACACAATATTCACTATAACTATGCTATACAGTTCCTACACTCAGAGTACTAATTTATTACCCTACCGATTTACTTTCTCACATTGCTCACTGAACCTAATCAATTCCACCCGCCATGGACCATGGTTCCACAGAACTATTCACCCCACATCAAATTCACGAAGCAGGTTAGATCAAAACGGATCAAAACCCTCCAGCGCAACCCCTCGTTCCAAAACAAAATACTCACAAAAACAATTCCAAAGAGCCAAAAAATATCAAAAAAAAAAAATTCAGAAGTGACAAGTCCCTCGGACCGGATTCGAACCGGTGACATCCAGATTAATCTGAAATGTTTGACCAATTACAGTCTGACGTCATAAACCAACTAGACGACCAAGGGATATTTCTTGTCTGAAAACTTCGTCTCCAACTGAGCCATTGCGACTCGGTTGTTGTGCGCCAAGGGGTGAGATCTTGGTTTATGAATCAAACTTTCTATTGCGCATACCATTTTCTGATCCTGGAGTTTCGATAGTTTCGATAACTTGAATCTAGTAATCCTTCTACTTTTGGGTTGATTACTGGTGCATGCATGTTTTCATTGTTTTCGCATTCATTTGTTTCGCTCATCTCATCTCACCTCTCGCTGTTTTCTCCTTCAGTGGGGATTAAATAAAAGGTGCCATGAGATTCTAATAGTGCCGCAGACATAGCAAGCTGTCCCAATAATACATAGCCATCTACCAAGAGAAAGTTTTATTTTCTAGATTCGGTGATAGGATGCTTGGATAATACATTCACTTAATAATCACTAAACGGCACAAAGCTTTCTCTTTTACTTTCAATTCATTCATAAAACAGCTATGTTCATCAATTTACATAAGATGCCTGCCTGCCTGCATGCACACACTCCCAGAGCGGAATACAAAAATCAAAGGAGGACAGAATTACCGATTTCCCTCCAAACCCGAGAATTCCAACTTCATGGATTTATTTATTTATTGTCACGCTGACCATAGGACTAAGAAAAGAAACATGTCAGCAATCTGCCTTTCTGAAAAATTAACCAAACATCACGAAAAGAGGAATTACCTTAGTAGCGTAGTCTCCCTTGTAGACAATGAGATCTTGTGGGTTGTAGTCGTGCTTTCCGGTAAGGTAGCTCTCGAGGATCTTCTTGGTACCGGCGGCATATCTCTTCTGAGCATCGATGGAAGTACCAGACATGTGAGGAACCATGGCGTTACCACCACCGAATGGGTGCTTGACGGTACGGAGTGGGTGATCAGCTGGAGCGGGTTGTGGGAACCAGACGTCACCTCCGTATCCGCTGAGCTGGCCAGTTCGGACGGCCTCGGCAACATCCTCCTTGACAACGATGGCACCACGGGCAGTGTTGACGAGCCAGGCACCCTTCTTCATCTTGGAGATCAAGTCCTTGTTGAAGAGACCGCGGGTCTTCTCGTGGAGTGGGCAGTTGATGGTGACAACATCGCACTGAGCCAACATCTCTTCCAAGCTGTCAACACGTCGGCAGCCAATTTCCTTCTCCTTCTCAGCACTGAGTGGCTGGTAGTCGTAGTAGAGGAGCTCCTTGCAGTCGAATGGCTTGAGTCTTCGGAGCACACGCTCACCGATACGGCCAACGGCAACGGTACCAACGACCTTGCCCTCTAGATCGTACTCACCCTTGGCGACGGCGGCGACATTCCAGTCACCTCGCTCAATCTGCTCGTGGGCGGGGACGAAGTTGCGGACAAGGATGAGGATGGTCATGACTACGTGCTCAGCAACGGAGACGACGTTGGAGCCGGTAACTTCGGCGACGGTGAGACCACCGTTAGTCTTGTTGGCGGCATTGAGGTCGACATGGTCGGATCCGATACCAGCAGTGATGCAAAGCTTGAGGTTCTTAGCCTTGGCAAGACGCTCAGCGGTGAGATAACCTGGGTGGAAACTGCATTGCCATTGAGGTTAGAATATTTGCTTTTTTCCTTTGTGAAGACGCATGCATGCACCCTTTTCTACTCGATAGCTTAGAGCAGGGGGCAAGGGGGAGCTATGATGCTCAGGGGCTAAGCGAGAAGGAAGGGCAGGAGTACATACGGAGTGGTGATGATGACTTCGGCATCTACGAGTTCCTGGTCGAACTTGGAGTTCTCGCCCTCCTTGTCGGAGGTGGTCACAAGAGTGTGTCCTTGGTCTTCGAGCCACTTTCGAAGGCCGAGCTCGTTCTCAGTTGTGCCCAAGAGATCTGGGACCTGGAGGGTGTGCATCCATCAGCAATTGCGTCGCGATAGAGAAGATAAGGGCGATAAGGCTGAGAGCAACCGAGCTCCATCTTAACTGCACCCCAAGTACAGTTCAATTGGATTGTATTGAATCCAATTGAAGTACATTGCACATTGAATAATATAAAATGAATATACAATAAATATAGAAGAGATAGGGATTCATACCTGCTTGGCATGCTCGCCACCATCGTACAGAACGGCAAGAACTTTAACCTTTTCGCGTTTCCCAGTCAGCGTTCGAATTCCACCAAGTTGCATGCGACGACCACTACCGGCAAGAGCACCACTACCGCCACGAGTGAGCAGCGTCGCCGGGGCAGGACGAGCTTTCGCAGCCCCGCCAGGCGCCGTGCCATACATCCTCATGGACAGCAACCGCGCACCAGGCGCTGGTGCTCTTGCCAATCGAACGGCTGGACGGGTGAACAATACCATTTTGAAGTTTTAAGTTGATTTATAAAGAAGAAGAAAAGGGATAGTAGTCAAGGTGAGCTCGAGGGAGGTAGCTTCCGGAAGCTTTTATTATCCAAGGGAGTTGGAGGAGACTTGAGACCACGGAGGTAGTTCGGATGTTTGAGTTGCGGGGTTGGGGGGTAGGTTCTCTGCACAAGCAATAATGATATCAGCACGACACGCCCTAACACACGAATTGTGCTCTGCTCTTTTCTCTTTGCGGCCTTTCCGGAGACCTTCTTTCGAAAAGGGCAAAGAGAATGCAACATGCAGTCACATATCTTTGCAGTATGCATCGGCTGATAGTAGCCTGATGTTCATCCCCCTTGCTTGCAACCAACGCAGGGGCAGAATAGATTGATGATAATGCATGATGGGTAAACCACGTACCTGATTCTGATTTTCTTCTGGACACAGAAGAAAGAGAAGCTGAGGATGATGGAGGAGAAGATGCGAAAGGAAAAGAAGCAGCTGGCTCAACGGGGAGAAGGCAGTACTTTATACATTGCTCGCCTTCCCCTCCAGCACGCTCATCTGACGGGAAACCACCAAGCCTGCCACAAACGGATTCAACCAGACAATGCCCCTTCGCACTACCGGGAGAAGCAGCCCCTCCTGCGTTCCCCTCTTCTTGCCTAATCCATACAAATCACTTGCATCTCTTGGGATCTCCTGCTCCACTCAGCGCCCGGTCTTAATACCTCATCCACTGGCCCCCCTTCCCCCTTCCAATCCCAACTGCGCTATCCGTGACAGATGACGGCGGCTGAGGCAGTCAATTAAGGAAGCTCATACTTGGCATGCAAAGATGTACGATATTCATTCCTGGTCAAGCATCTAGAGTGGAGAGGTTGGTTGCTGTGGTATGGCGAAGGGGAGATTGGCAGAATATTGTGCGTACGCGGTGTCTTCGCGTTTTGGGGAGCTGTTGCTGTAATTGTATCTTCATTTTTACATTCCTCATGCTTTTGCTATCACCAGTTCCTGGTATGGAAAAGAGCTTCTCCGACAGTAAATCTCTTCGCACGCGAATAAAAACAAACTGTGGAGCATCCCATCTATTGCGGGCGAACCGCCAGCAAGACCTTCAGCTCCAGCCGCCGAAAGGGGGGATGCTGGAATATTTCCGACCTGAAAGCTTACGCTGGCCCATGGCGGGGTAAGCTGTACCAAAAGGGCAGGCTCGGGGATGATTCGGTGCAGGGCGGGAGGCCCTACCCCACACCAGCTTTTCTCGGCATCTCGTTCGCCGAATGCGTCCGAACAGGAAGAAAACATCGTAACTAGAGCAACAACGGTCGAGGAAGCTCAATGAGGCAATTATGATGATAAGAAAGTGATCACGAACGACGCCAGTATGGAGGATACGCATCATGTGCGGACATCGGGGCTGGTATTGGGAGCCGTCCTGCATCAATCGCTATGGATATTCCCTGCACTGCCGGCCTGAATTGACTGGGCATAACGCATCATCATTGAGCAGCCTGGGAGCATGGTGTATCATTGCGTATAGTTCATCAATTGGCGCATTGGATGGACATCACCGTGAGCACCACGCGGCGTGGTGCATCCTCTCGAGCTTCGTTTCCCAGCCTTGCCAAATGATATTGCGTCGCGTGCACACTCTCAACGCTCATCCTGCCAGCCGTTCAAGTAGAGGGGATGTATTATTGCTGCAATCCTTCCAACAACGCGCACCCCGCACCAAGCCTCAACCACATACGTACAAAACAACATAAGAAGCGGCCCCCTTCCTGCCTTGGGACAAGAGATCCAGATTGCTCGAGACGCCCATGTGGTATGTTGGTCAATTCCGCATAAGCCGTAATCTTTCTGCCAATTCCTGCACCAACACCTTGTTGGTAAAATCCCACATAAGCGTTGCTTTCTGATTTCGGCGTCAACGGTATTCGGAATGGCACTTTCTCTCTCCCATCAACTAGGATCGACTAGGTCGAAATGCTGCTCACTTCATCAATAATAGTAGCTAGACTTCGGCATCGCCCAATCCTCACTGGCCACAACCAGAGAGCTCCCGTTAGTGTTGCCAATCTAGTGGGGCCCAACCGCCGAGCTTCGCGGGTCCTGGGTGCTTAGTTCCTCTCAAATCGTTCATGGTACCGTACCGCCTCTGCATCAATTGTTCGTATTGGCGGGAATCATCTGCTTGATCCTCTCACTACTGGCCGCCTCTTCTCTACGGTCTGGATCTCTCATAATGGATGGCGCATTCGGGGAGAGGGGAACCGTCGGAAAGATTCTCCACGTGATGTGGACCCTTTTCCCTCTCTCATGACGTCACGTGTGAATTTCGTTCTTGTGATAAATGGTCGGAAGTATCCTGTATTCGGGGGTTATCAGAGATCTGGCAGCTAGGCTGTGAAGTAACAGGGCCGATGAACTCCAGCCGTTTGTGTTTTAGAGGATGAAAGATGCGGTGCACGGGTCAAGGTCAGCAAGAACAACATGCCCCAGCGCACTGACACATTTGATCCATATCAGTGCCTTAGGCATAACAACTCACTTACTGTCAAGTCTCAAGCAGGGAGAACCTCGACGTTTCATGATTAAGCATAAGATCAAACCGTGATTCCGTCCAGCCAGTCTCGCGCACTAAGTGTGGCTCCACTCCACTCAGTTTCAAAATGTGCCT